ACTGTAGTTAAAAGCCTTCAGCACCAATCTGACTGGATAATCCGATTGAAAGTCTCTGGAAGGAGACTTGAGATGAGGTGCGGTTAATTGGCTGATCTTAGCTCCACTTACAGGATTGAAATCTTTGTCCTCTGAACCCTTGAAGAACCAGTTAACGACGGCGATGGCGGGAACTTCGCCTCTCATCTTGCAGGAAATGCATCCCAGCCTGAAGCCCTCGTTAGCCACGGCCTCCGTGTCAGAGTCCACCTCCACGCAGGCTGCATGGCACAGAGTCGCTGCAGAGCAACAAAGGAAAGACGAGTGAGACGAGGCGCTGCTGTTTGCTCGGTCAGCGGGTGGGAGAGGGGGGCCGTGGGTGACCCCCTCCCTCCTTTCCCGTGACTCCAGGAGGAGCTTCTGGTTTTTTTCTCAGTACTTGCAGGCAAACAGTCTAATTAGTACTTCAGAAAAAAACAGAAGCTCCTGCAATGTTTCTTTTTTGGCGTGCTTGCTTTCAATCCTCCATGCATGCGTCATTTTTCTTTTTGGCTTTTTAATTTTCGCATTGTTTTTATTTCCACTCATTGCTTCACGTCACCCTTAGAAAAAATTTGGAGTTCAGCTGTGATTGTTGTCTTTAAAAGGTGAAACTGAGGGGAAATAAAGAGGTTGCAGTGAGCAGTTAGCCTGTTTCCTGTTGCATTCTGTTGGTTGCCAGCTGGAGCTAACATCATATATAGAGACGGGCGTCTATATATGCTAACGTTATCATGACACATCGGCCAGAAGTAACACACCTGTAGCTCCAAAAGTTTGTCTCAAACTGCACCTTGCAGTTTCCCCTGAGGCCTCAGCATCGCTCTCAACCAAAGAGGTCTACGCTCTACTTTCACCTCGAGCGGGGGGGCTTTCATTTTGAATAGCAAGATGAAGGGACGGGGGGGTGAAGGGAAAAGACAGGAAACATTCAACTCCAAATCAGACCAACAGCCACAAAACCATGAAAGTCTGTGGCGACGCGTCGGCCTGCTGAGGAAGGATGGATGTTAGAAAGACAAGGTGAGTGAGGATGAGAGAAGGAAGAGCTGCAGAGGAAAAGGAGGAAAAGAGAATATTAGGAGAACAACTTTAAGACTTCATTAAACATAAAAACACTTTGATTCTGTTTTCCAGTGCTGAGCTGTTGATGTCCAGTCTGCAGTAAACGGCAGGAATGACCGTCACAGCCATGTAGACTGGACCTCTACCACTGAGAATAAGCCTGACCTCATTTAAACAGGCGATAGTAAAAAAACAAACATCTAAAATCAACCTTTGTTTTCTCTCCTTTAATCTTTGACAGTCTGCTTGGTTCAGTCCAGTCTAACCCTAACAGAAAAAGGTTTGTCTTTAATTATTGATAACCAGGACAGCTGAAGGACCAGGTTCATACCTGAAGTCCTGCTTTCTGTCTTTTAGCAACGCTCCTCTCCTTCATCTTAGTGAAGATAATAGCAGAGACTGTCTGCGTCCGTGACGCATAAACACTGGGACATCCAGGAAACCTGAAAATACCCTATGAAGACCACCCAAGACCTCCCCACGACCCTATAAAGACCATCCACGACCTCACCAAGACCCTATAAAGACCATCCAAGACCTATAAAGATCACCCAAGGCTTTACCAAGACCCTAAAACGCCATCCAAGACCTCACAAGACCTATAAAGACCATCAAAGACCCTCACAAAGACCCAATAAATATCATCCACAACCTCATCAAGTTCCTATAAAGACTGAATAAAGACCATCCAAGACCTATAAAGATCACCCAATGCTTCAC